ATCAGGGAAGATATATATATGAAGGGGATCATGATAGCCAATACGTTCCCAAACCAGGTTATTTCTAAGTCACCTTATCGTGATGACAATCTAACCTATCTTTGTTCTTTACCTGAACATGTAGTTAACCCCTATTATACATTGTTTAGATGATCTATAGAATGTGTACTCATCCCTCTACCCTCAACTCGAGTTCTTAACACCTCTCTGAAAATATTATAGTCTATGTCTATAATAAAAATAAGACTAGCTCATTGCTCTAGGCCATTTCACGGCCGAATCGATCTTTCCAAAAAAAAAAAATTCTTCCTTCCTAGATCTGAAAGCTACACTGGCTTGTTCTGGTGATCTGCCTCAGAAGTTCATTTAGAAGTCCTACTAATTTAAAGTTTACCTTATCTTATGATGAGTTACTCTCGTAACAAAAAGAAAATTTCTACTTATTAACTGATATTTAGACCTAAATTCGTTCTAACTAAACGTATGGTAGACTGATAGTCTTTAATTAGGTGATTAACTTTTGCTAGCCTGGGGCGATATAAAACGCAAAGAATCTGGACAGTCCATCTGTCACTTTGCTAACTGGTACCTAAAAATCTGTAGACGGAATCGCGTCGTCTAATCATAACTTGTCTCTTACACGCTCTCTCATTGTTAACTCTCATTAGAAACCCCCTTTAGACTATGACTTAAAATCAAGGAGTTATAGGGACTGATTTACCCAGCACATGTTTCGAAGTTTCTGTCTATCGGGGATTGGTTCCAAGCTGCGCAATTTATAGAGGAGCTTCAACGCGCCGAACCTTCCCAACCTCCCGTCTGAAATCATCCTCATCTCAGTCACGTTTAAAGCGTCGTAAATTACGATGTCAGATCGGTTACCCGAGGTTTGTCGTTAAGCACCTGCTCACGACATCGGCTACTAAATCTCCCCACCTAGCACAAAGTTCACCTGGTACCTCTCCGCTTCCTCTAAAGAGGAGGGGACTTGCAGACTTCTGGCCTGACCGTGACCTTCCACAAATCCCCCAGTCTGAGAATCGAGACATGGTCATTGCCTACGACTCTTAGAATTCAAGTTGATATGATGAAATAGGGTGATTGATTCCCTAATAATAGAAATCAAACTTATACTCCCATTGGAGGAGACCTAACAAAAAATGGAGCGAAAACCTTTCCTAATAATAGAGTTGTACTGTCCTGTGAGGCCATCGTTCCTAACAAATAACGAAATCAAAATTAAAATTGAATCTATTAGTTCCCTTACCTTATCTTAAAGTACCTTTGGTCTTTACAGTATAATTGTTTTTAACCTTCTTACACATTCATTAAACCAATCCATTCATGCACCCTCCCCCCCCCATCATTCACGGTTTGCATACAAACTAAAGTTAAAAGCTGCTACACAAGCCAAAGTACTATGATTATCATCATTGATAGTTCCTAATAATAACAAATTTTTCAGGACAAATGTAAGATCAAATAAAGTATACCTAATTAATATGAATCGGGAGCTAAAGCCCTATTTACTCAAATAAAGTGCCTCGTATAAACTCTAATACAAGTTACCTACTCATAGATAAATATTATTTATACTTAAACAAAATTAATAAAGTTTGATTGTTAACAATCAATGCTGAAATCTAACCTAACACTCTAACTAGGTGTCTAATAGTCTGAAAATCTTCTTATCTTGACACTTGGTGTCTAAACAAATGAATCATCAAACTAACACTTAAATGGAGCGAACTGAACTTCTAGCATTTACCTCATTGCCAAAAATATGATAGGTCTACAAGTGTTTTGCCAACGCTGCTTCCCATATAGGATCATTAGCATTCTTCACTCCCTGCTATTCAGCTAAACTCTTTCTTTGGACTTATAGGGCATTCAGTACCCAGCTCGTTCTGGAGTTTAACAACAGAGATGACTTGTTATCCTATTACATCAATTCTTAGACTGTAATTGCCTTACACACTCTCATTAGAAATTCTCTTTGGACTGTATAACTGGACCCAGGGATTTACAGGGAGTCAAGTTTTACCCAACGCAAGCTCCAAGTCATTCCATAGAGAATATGTTACAAGCACAGCAATTGTCTGATGCGTCTAAGCCCCTTAATTGGTTTTTAAAGTTGAACCACTGCTCAAAACCTGCAATAAAAAAAATCGAAACAAAATACACTGTTGAACTCTCAACTTAATTCACAACTTGCTACACATTCTATAGGTTTAAATCAATGGCAACCTGGGCATGATTTACAATCAGTGGGTCCCTTGACCCTGGTTGAACGACGTATTCCAGGGCCGTCAACATTGCCACCAATTGCCCTATTTACTACCTCAGGCGGGTTCCCTAAGGTTGCTGTCTCTCGTGGTTCCACTGGTTCTACAGTTCTATGGGAATATATGGGATACGTTGGATGTACCCAGTGATCCTCATCATCAGTGATACTATCTATTTGTTCTTGTGTGTTTCCGTCCCCCGTAGGGTAAGTCTTTACCGGTGCATGATAGGCCTTCATTCTGTCTATGTGAATCTTGTCCAAGTGCCCCGTCTCCAAATCCTTCAAAAGATAAACAGTGTCGCCTGTCCTTTGTAGTACCTCATAAGGTCCTCTATACCTTGGCTCAAATTTGTGACATCCTTTCGTCTCATGCATTCTCTTTACCAAAGCTAGATCCCCTGTCTCAAAGGTCCTTAATTCTCTAGCTTCAAACTCAGCCCTGGCTTCTTGTTGCTCCTTCAAGTAAGTCTGCCTCACCACCTCTCTCGCCCTTTCAACCTCCTCCACTAATTCCCGCTCATAGAAGGCCGCCATCTTGGTAATTGAATCCTCGCATACAGGATTAAGCTCCTCTTCCTGGAAAGGTTGTGTGAGCCTCAGCTCATGTCCGAAGACCAGTTCCACTGGAGTAAATCCAGTACTAGAGTGTACAGTGGTCCTGATAGCTAAGGCTACCATTGGTAAGGTGGTATCCCAATTGTTCCCCGCTGTACACCTGCGTAGAGATTCTATTACCGTCCTATTTAGCCTTTCTACGGCGCCATTACTCTGAGGTCTCCAGGCCGTGGTATTTACTGCACCAACCCCCATAGCCTTGCAGACTCCCTTGAACACGCAACTCTTAAATCATATCCTGACAGGATTGCGAAAGCTCTTCAAAACGATGTGTTATATTACAACAAGGTTGTGACACAACTCATAAAGATGACAAACTATCATTAAAACAAGGTTGTGAAAAACTCCCTCTTTAACTGTGGACTAACATCAAGACACTGTTGTGAGAACCCTCTTCAACAATGAACTACACTGAAACGAGGTTGTGACTAACGACACTCTAATAGTAAAACATGTTGTAAGAATTCTCTAAAAGATGGACTAATAACAAACACGGTCGCGAAACTCTCTATAATGACACATAAACACTAAAGCAGACTGTGACAATCCTTTAGAGACGACACACACACACTAAAACAGGCTGTGAAGACTCCTTAAAGATGATAAACTAACATTTAAAACGGGTTGTGAAACCCTTAAAAGATGATATACTAATATTAAAACAGGTTGTGTCAAGGTTGTTACAAATGACATACTAACATTTAAAACAAGGTTGTGAAACCTCCCTTTAACTGTGGACTAACATCAAGACACTGTTGTGAAAACTCTTCTCGACAATGGGCTACACTAAAAACGAGGTTGTGACAAACGACACACTATCATTAAAACAATTGTGGAGATCATTAAAGATGGCAACAAACGCTACAGCAAGGTTGTGAGACGATATACTGCAAAAAAAAAAAAAAACAAGGTTGGGACAATTAGCACACAAACACTGAAACAGGGTGTTATAGTTCCTTTCAACTGTCACTTAGCACTAGAACAAACGTTATGGTTTAAAAAAAAATAAAAGGAAGAGCTGTAAACTATTTAAAGTTCTCCATGGTACTTAAGACAAAAATTGTTAACTAAAAAAAAAATTGAAATCTTAAGGTTCATTACAATACTATAAAGGAGAAAACAAACTCGTAGCTAGAAAAATAAAGAAAGCTGGAACTCTTTAAATCACAGCCTATAACAAAAACAAAGTGTTGTTAATAAATGAGAAAAAAAAACTAAGTAACTCTTAAATATCATATATCAGCATTAAGGCCAAGATTGCAGTGAACAAAAAAAATTGTTTCTTAACAGGAGAATACTTATTTGTTATTTAATATAGCCTAATATTATAACAAATAAAGACCTATTTATTTAAATTAGTGTATACAGTTGCCTAAACTTAGGTAAATCGGCTTACACAAACTCCCAGTGTGTTTTAACATCCTCAATTTTTACAAGTTAAACCAGACCCTCCCACGTCTGGTCATTATCTGACTAAAAGGGAGGCAGGGGGGCCCACGGTTTCTAATTTTAATTGCCCCGGCCGCGAATCTTTTATCACCCCCGCACGGAGGCCCAGCGAGGAAATTGGCCGTCGTGGTCTCTTTCCCCCGGCCATATACAAACGTCTCGTTGAGGCCCCAAATCTCTGATCATCATGCTGACAACTTATAATCTATGAATACACAATTGTTGAATATCTGGAAACCTATCCTACCAATTTACTTGATCCCATAACACGTGTATGAGTCCATTGTCACTTAGAGACTGTTATCAGAAGCTTTTCTTTTGCATTTATACAGTATGAGGTGCAGTGATTGAAGGTTCTATTTCCATGGGTTCATCCCTCTTACAACATGCTGGTACGGAATAAAATGCGGTTATAAAATCATTGTCTACGGGATAACAGGTGCACAATCTGGATTGGGAAACTGGCAAAGTTATTTCGCCCTTCAGGATACCGATTCTGGTTCAAATTCACATAAATAGGTACCGCTCAGCAAGAGCAACCTAGTTCATGATAATTGAACATTGTGTAATATGTGAAGGTTATCACATATTAAACAAATTTTAACGCGGGATTCAATCCCGGTTCATGACTGTCGGGAATCGAGGAGGTTACCCACTCGTCCTACGACTTTGAACCAGCAACCTAAGGATCACTGTTGTAACATCTACAGTCCTCCGCTCTGCCAACTGAGCTAACTGAGTCTTCTGTTGGGTTATAATGAAATACTGTGAATCTTGTAGGGGAATTACTTTTGTTGCATACCATGGGTTTTGTTTGTCACTGGGTTAGAGAACTCATATTATTCCTTATTACTGTCAGACTGGTAATTACATTCCTGGCTCATTAGATATAGGTGTGAAACTTGTATAATGCACTGTGGAAACATATGTGGACACTTAAGGATTTACAGGAGTACATCAGGTATGGAGAGGTCACCTCAGCTCAATCTAAACACATTTTGTTCTGGAATTAGCGCCGTATTCTAGATGGACTTCACTGCCCCATCTACTGTCCAGGCGTAGCATCTTATGTGTGTCAAATTTAGGAAACGTCATCTCGTCCTAGATCTTCTTTCTCGTCGTGCTGGCACATCTTCAATGACAATTTCCATGTGGTGCACACACCCTTTTTGCGATCTATCGGCATCCAGTGATCTAACTTGGCAGAAAACGACGTCAAAGGGGGCCGCCCTTCCTCGCGCATCTAGCCTTCTAACCAATCACGACGCCGCCTCACGCCTACAGGTTCCGAATTGCATTCAATGTAATATCCTTGCTCGGGTGTCCCGACTTCATCCTCCCTCCTTCACAGCCTTCAGGTGATATTACTTCGCGCTGGAGATCCTCATTTCGCTAACCTCCTCATTATATATTAGTATCAAATCGAGCCTCGAT